TGAAAAACAGGGATTCTCAATATTGTCAAAATGGCTATAGTACCCAAAGCAATCTACAGATTCAAGGCAATCCCTATCAAGCTACCAACGGCAGCTTTCAGAGAACTAGAGCAAATAATTTCACAATTTGTATGGAAATGCAAAACACCTCGAATAGCCAAAGGAATCTTGAGAAAGAAGAATGGAACTGGAGGAATCAACCTGCCTGACTTCAGACTATACCACAAAGCCACAGTCATCAAGACAGTATGGTACTGGCACAAAGACAGAAATATAGATCAATGGAACAGAACAGAAAGCCCAGAGATAAATCCACGAACCTATGGTCACCTTATCTTCGACAAAGGAGGCAAGGATATACAGTGGAAAAAAAGACAACCTCTTTAACAAGCGGTGCTGGGAAAACTGGTCAGCCACCTGGAAAAGAATGAAACGAGAACACCGTCTAACACCATACACAGAAATAAACTCAAAATGGATTAAAGATCTAAACGTTAAGACCAGAAACCATAAAACTCCTAGAGGAGAACACAGGCAAAACACTCTCCGACATAAATCACAGCAGGATCCCAGAGTATTAGAAACAAAAGCGAAAATTAACAAATGGGACCTAATGAAACTTAAAAGCTTTTGCACGACAAAGAAACTATAAGCGAGGTGAAAGGACAGCCCTCAGATTGGGAGAAAATAGCAGCAAACGAAGCAACACACAAAGGATTAATCTCAAAAATATACAAGCAACTCCTCCAGCTCAACTCCAGAAAATAAATGACCCAATCAAAAAATGGGCCAAAGAGCTAACCAGACATTTCTCCAAGGAAGGCATACAGATGGCTAAAAGACACATGAAAAGATGCTCAACATCACTCATTATCCGAGAAATGCAAATCAAAACCACAATGAGGTACCATTACACGCCAGGCAGGATGGCTGCTATCCAAAAAGTCTACAAGCAATAAATGCTGGAGAGGGTGTGGAGAAAAGGGAACCCTCTTACCCTGTCGGTGGGAATGCAAACTAGTACAGCCGCTATGGAAAACAGTGTGGAGATTTCTTAAAAAACTGGAAACAGAACTGCCCTATGATCCAGCAATCCCACTTCTGGGCATACACGCCGAGGAAACCAGATCTGAAAGAGACACGTGCACCCCAATGTTCATCGCAGCACCGTTTATAATAGGCAGGACATGGAAGTAACCTAGATGCCCGTCAGCAGACGAATGGATAAGGCAGCTGTGGTACATATACACCATGGAATCTTACTCAGCCATTAAAAAGAATTCATTTGAATCAGTTCTAAAGAGATGGATGAAACTGGAGCCCGTTATACAGACTGAAGTAAGCCAGAAAGATAAAGACCATTACAGGATACTAACACATATACACGGAATTGAGCAAGATGGTAACCATAACCCTATATGCAAAACAGAAAAAGACACACAGATGTAGAGAACAGACTTTTGGACTCTGTGGGAGAAGGCGCGGGTGGGATGTTTCAAGAGAACAGCATCGAAACACGTATATATAACCTAGGGTGAAAGAGATCACCAGCCCAGGTTGGATGCAGGAGACAAGTGCTCGGACCTGGTGCACTGGGAAGAGCCAAAGGGATCGGGTCGAGACGGAGGTGGGAGGGGGGATCGGGATGGGGAATACATGTAAATCCATGGCTAATTCATGTCAATGTATGACAAAAAAATTTGTAAAGACATTAGCCTCCAACTAATAAAAATAAATGAAAAAAAAAAAAAAAACCAGGGATTCATTGAGCTGCATGGGAGATGAATTCTGTCATTAGAAACTTTGCCACCAGGCTTAAGAAATATATTTAGAACTCATTTCTTTCAGGAAACAGGTTTCAAGATCTCCATAAGAAGTCTTTTATTAAGATAAATCACAGCTTTGTCAGTTTCTCCAGAAGTACCCTCTTTTTAATTCCCAAGGAGAATGGCAATAATAAAACTAAATTAACCGAGTAGGTTATTTTCTCTCTAATGGCCCCTGTCTTGATTAAGAGGATTCCGGTCGACGTATTTCCTGGGCTTCCCTGGTGGCTCAGGTGGTAAAGAATCTGTCTGCAATGCAGGAGACCTGGGTTTCATGCCTGGGTTGAGAAGATCGCCTGGAGAAGGGAATGGCCACCTCTTCCAGTATTCTTGCCTAGAGAATTCCACGGACAGAGGAACTGGGAAGGCCACAGTCCATGGAGTCACAAAGAGTCGGACACAGCTGAGCAACTAATACACATATTTTCTTACCATTTGCTTAGCAGAAGCAATCATTCATAGCATTTTATAGCACTTTCTAAAGAACATTTTGTGCCTTTTTTCTCTTTTGTAAGCTGCACCAGGTCTTGGTTGCCACACATGGGATCTTTCATTGTGGCGTGCACACTCTTCCTTGCAGTGAATGGGATCTAGTTCACTGACCAGAGATTGAACCCAGGCCCCTGCATTGGGAGCAGCCACTGGATCGCCAGGGAAGCCCTCTAAAGAACACTTAAAAGTGAAACTTTTTGGATGTTCGCAGCAGCTCTGGGCAGTCCTAGTGATGATACTTGTTCTGCACTCTTGAGCCCGTGACCTCCCTGAGGGACACAGGGGCCAAGCGAGCAGATGCTACCCCAGCGCCAGACCACAGGGCCAGACTGGCAGTGTAAACTCCCTTCCAGTGATGTCCTCTTTTTACTGTTCCTCTGGTCAATTCAGTACTGTTTCCTTGGAGCTTGTGTTTAAAAGGAAATCCTAGATGTGTTCAAGCATTACTGCCCACTTTCAGATGGATTGATATCTACCTAGGACTTCTCTATTAAACCCACCTGCCTGAGTACTGTGACTTGATTGGAGTTTTCTTGAAGTCACTCCTGAAGCACTGTGATGGCTTTGTCTAACATTAATAGATTTTTTAAAATGATATGTGTTGGGGAATGGCTATGAAAAAAGGGGAGAATCTGTTGCTACTGCAAACCAATTAAGGAGGCAACTTAAAAAGGAAATCTGAATTGTAACTATGTTTCTATTTCTGTAAAATACTGTCCTTACCTTGCAGTCTGTAGTTGATGTGCCCAGACACAGTAGTGGCTCTCGGGTTGCTCTTCTGCCATCTTCCTGTCTCCTTCAGTCCCTGCATGCGTATAGGAACTTCAGTGAGATAATGGGGCATTTAACACAGATTAATACTCTGTGCAATACTGTATTTAGTGTTTCTACTTTAAAGTTTCTTAGATGTTAATTTACATGCAAATAAAATACATGATAAGAGAGTTCTCTGCCTATTGTGTCTATATGACCTAAAAGTAAATGCAAAATATTTATCCCAGAGGGAAAATAAGTTAGAGCGTCTGTGTTCAAAGATTTTTGAAAGTTCTTATCTCAGGCCGAACCGTTGCTGGTGAACAGTGAAAGTCGCTCTGTCATGTCTGACTCTGCGAACGCATGGACTGTACAGTCCATGGAATTCTCCAGGCCAGAATACTAGAGTGGGTAGCCGTTTCCCTTCTCCAGGGGGTCTTTGCAACCCAGGGATCGAACCCAGGTCTCCTGCACTGCAGGTGGATTCCTCACCAGCTGAGCCACCAGGGAAGCCTGAACAGTTCTTGGCAGCTAAGGATTTAACAACTGCTAGAGTGTAAAGACAAAATAGTAATTCCGCTACATTAAAACACATTTTCTTAAGTGCAAATCTTCTCAATGCAGTTTTAGGGAAGAAGTATTTCCCCCTTATGGAAATATCAGTATGTTAATTCCTAAGAAGTCCTTTCTCGAAAAGTTGCAAAAATTCATATGATGTAGATTAAATGGTGATAAAAATTGAGTTGATCTCAGTGAGGCAGCAGTGAGTGGTGGCGTGAAGTGAGATCTAATTCGCTGCCCAGGAACTGAACCCGGGTAGCCTGAACGAAAACCAGGAATCCTAGCCACCAGACCAGCAAGGGCTAGAGGCCAGAAGCCAAGTTTCCCTGGATCTTTGACCAGTGAAAAATGCATTCATCATGGAGGCAGAATCGCTACATGCAGGTACAACGTTTATTATCAGAGACACAGCACAGCAACACGTGGGAAAGAACACGGAGGAACAGCTGGTCTAGTTACCACAGAAGCAAAGCAGAGACACACACCTGGAGAGAAAGGTTATGGGCGCCCCCTGGTGACAAGGAGCACAATAACCACGAGGTGGTGAAGTCCTTTATATAGGCCAGTTCTTCTGGGTCTTTGTCTTCCTTCCTGCCAAGTTTCTGGTTTCTTTCTTCACATCTGACCTATCCTGGGCCTCTGCCCTGGTGTGCACATACCCCTCAGCCAAGATGGATCTCCAAGTGGAGGCTTCTGGGAGAAGCAAGGCTCATCATGGTCTGGCACTTTCGCGGGACTTTTCACCCACAAGGAGCCTCTCTGCGCATGTGTAGTGTTTCCCTTCTCCCACAAGGGGGGTGGGGGGAGGGGAGATCTCTTCATCCTTGACTCAAGCAGGATTTTGTCCCTCTTTGCCCTTGTCATGGCTACTAAAGTGTTCATGAGAGACAGACACTGGTTATTTACCCTCTTTCGGTTGTTACTTCCATTTCACAGGGCAAGCAGGACACTGACTGTAAAGGCTCAACTGGAGCCCAACCATCGCTTGCCTCAGGAAATGTAAACAGGCTAGATGTAAATGCCTAACCTGGAGTCCATCTGTCTCCTCCAGCAGCATTATGGGAAGACAAAAGGCGGAAAATTATGCCAATAAGGCACCACATGATGGTGCAAAAAGATGGATATAGACAAGGAAAGAAGGAATAAAAACTAAGCATTATGCTAATGGCAACCATTATGCAAGTTAATGGGGGGTGGGGGGGAACCTAATGGAAAACACTTGCTTTTATGCCATAAACCATCCTTGAATTCAGGTTGAATTGGATTTTTCACGATAAACTTTTCATCACCTCTGCATTGGCTTGTCGTCTACTTTGTGCAAAAGCCTGGAGCTCCTAACTACTAGGGGGTCTCCCATCCAAGTACTAACTAACCCTGCTTAGTTTCCCCGATCAGAAGACATCTGGCCCGTTCAGGGTGGTATGATCTTAGATGGAGGCGGCTGCCGCCAGGCGCCTTTAAAAACCCTGCGCTGCGCCTGCTTTTCGCTCTGATGTGCCGTGTCGAGCCAGCCGGCCGCACCTTTCCACGGGGCGCGCCGGCCAGGGCCGGCAGCCCGGCCGAAGCCTCCCAGTCCCCACACACCGGCAACCCTGGCCAGCAAACCTGGCCCGGCCCGGGGGCCCGGAGTGTTTCCGGGACCCCGAGCGGCCGGTCGGGCGTGCATGCCTGGGCTTGGGGTTGGGGTGAGGGGTGCGGAGGTCTCGGCGCCCTCCCGCCCTGGGCCTCTCCAGGCCCGCCCACTGTCAGCGCCCCCCCCCCCCCGCCGCACACTCCCGTTCGTGGCTCAGGGCCACGTGGCCCCGGAGGTGTCTGATTCGGGCCCGCCGCGGACCGCGGCCCTCGGTCCTCTGAGCCTCCCTCGGGCATAGGCGGAGCGCAGCCGGGGCCCTGAGCGCCCATCCTGCCCGGCACCTGCCCGGGGCCCAAACCCACTGGGAGCCACCAGCGCGGTCCACCCGAGCGCCTCAGCCCTGCCCCTTCGCCCGACCGCGGCCCCCCTCCTCGCCACGCCACCCGCCAAGCACAGGACCTTCCTGAGGTCCTTAAAATTCTTCCTTCAAGAGTTCTAGGTAAATTTAAGACAGCATCTACTGGATTGTCTCCAAGGGCTAAAAAAACAAACAAACCAACAGTTACCTTGATCCATCTTGCCTTAATGTGAGCTGTAACAGTAACCTCAGAGCTGCTGCACTCAATGATTTGATTCATTCTGTTGTTGAAAAACAGGGATTCTCAATATTGTCAAAATGGCTATAGTACCCAAAGCAATCTACAGATTCAAGGCAATCCCTATCAAGCTACCAACAGCAGCTTTCAGAGAACTAGAGCAAATAATTTCACAATTTGTATGGAAATGCAAAACACCTCGAATAGCCAAAGGAATCTTGAGAAAGAAGAATGGAACTGGAGGAATCAACCTGCCTGACTTCAGACTATACCACAAAGCCACAGTCATCAAGACAGTATGGTACTGGCACAAAGACAGAAATATAGATCAATGGAACAGAACAGAAAGCCCAGAGATAAATCCACGAACCTATGGTCACCTTATCTTCGACAAAGGAGGCAAGGATATACAGTGGAAAAAAAGACAACCTCTTTAACAAGCAGTGCTGGGAAAACTGGTGAGCCACCTGGAAAAGAATGAAACGAGAACACCGTCTAACACCATACACAGAAATAAACTCAAAATGGATTAAAGATCTAAACGTTAAGACCAGAAACCATAAAACTCCTAGAGGAGAACACAGGCAAAACACTCTCCGACATAAATCACAGCAGGATCCCAGAGTATTAGAAACAAAAGCGAAAATTAACAAATGGGACCTAATGAAACTTAAAAGCTTTTGCACGACAAAGAAACTATAAGCGAGGTGAAAGGACAGCCCTCAGATTGGGAGAAAATAGCAGCAAACGAAGCAACACACAAAGGATTAATCTCAAAAATATACAAGCAACTCCTCCAGCTCAACTCCAGAAAATAAATGACCCAATCAAAAAATGGGCCAAAGAGCTAACCAGACATTTCTCCAAGGAAGGCATACAGATGGCTAAAAGACACATGAAAAGATGCTCAACATCACTCATTATCTGAGAAATGCAAATCAAAACCACAATGAGGTACCATTACACGCCAGGCAGGATGGCTGCTATCCAAAAAGTCTACAAGCAATAAATGCTGGAGAGGGTGTGGAGAAAAGGGAACCCTCTTACCCTGTCGGTGGGAATGCAAACTAGTACAGCCGCTATGGAAAACAGTGTGGAGATTTCTTAAAAAACTGGAAACAGAACTGCCCTATGATCCAGCAATCCCACTTCTGGGCATACACGCCGAGGAAACCAGATCTGAAAGAGACACGTGCACCCCAATGTTCATCGCAGCACCGTTTATAATAGGCAGGACATGGAAGCAACCTAGATGCCCGTCAGCAGACGAATGGATAAGGCAGCTGTGGTACATATACACCATGGAATCTTACTCAGCCATTAAAAAGAATTCATTTGAATCAGTTCTAAAGAGATGGATGAAACTGGAGCCCGTTATACAGACTGAAGTAAGCCAGAAAGATAAAGACCATTACAGGATACTAACACATATACACGGAATTGAGCAAGATGGTAACCATAACCCTATATGCAAAACAGAAAAAGACACACAGATGTAGAGAACAGACTTTTGGACTCTGTGGGAGAAGGCGCGGGTGGGATGTTTCAAGAGAACAGCATCGAAACACGTATATATAACCTAGGGTGAAAGAGATCACCAGCCCAGGTTGGATGCAGGAGACAAGTGCTCGGACCTGGTGCACTGGGAAGAGCCAAAGGGATCGGGTCGAGACGGAGGTGGGAGGGGGGATCGGGATGGGGAATACATGTAAATCCATGGCTAATTCATGTCAATGTATGACAAAAAAATTTGTAAAGTCATTAGCCTCCAACTAATAAAAATAAATGAAAAAAAAAAAAAAAAACCAGGGATTCATTGAGCTGCATGGGAGATGAATTCTGTCATTAGAAACTTTGCCACCAGGCTTAAGAAATATATTTAGAACTCATTTCTTTCAGGAAACAGGTTTCAAGATCTCCATAAGAAGTCTTTTATTAAGATAAATCACAGCTTTGTCAGTTTCTCCAGAAGTACCCTCTTTTTAATTCCCAAGGAGAATGGCAATAATAAAACTAAATTAACCGAGTAGGTTATTTTCTCTCTAATGGCCCCTGTCTTGATTAAGAGGATTCCGGTCGACGTATTTCCTGGGCTTCCCTGGTGGCTCAGGTGGTAAAGAATCTGTCTGCAATGCAGGAGACCTGGGTTTCATGCCTGGGTTGAGAAGATCGCCTGGAGAAGGGAATGGCCACCTCTTCCAGTATTCTTGCCTAGAGAATTCCACGAACAGAGGAACTGGGAAGGCCACAGTCCATGGAGTCACAAAGAGTCGGACACAGCTGAGCAACTAATACACATATTTTCTTACCATTTGCTTAGCAGAAGCAATCATTCATAGCATTTTATAGCACTTTCTAAAGAACATTTTGTGCCTTTTTTCTCTTTTGTAAGCTGCACCAGGTCTTGGTTGCCACACATGGGATCTTTCATTGTGGCGTGCAAACTCTTCCTTGCAGTGAATGGGATCTAGTTCACTGACCAGAGATTGAACCCAGGCCCCTGCATTGGGAGCAGCCACTGGATCGCCAGGGAAGCCCTCTAAAGAACTCTTAAAGTGAAACTTTTTGGATGTTCGCAGCAGCTCTGGGCAGTCCTAGTGATGATACTTGTTCTGCACTCTTGAGCCCGTGACCTCCCTGAGGGACACAGGGGCCAAGCGAGCAGATGCTACCCCAGCGCCAGACCACAGGGCCAGACTGGCAGTGTAAACTCCCTTCCAGTGATGTCCTATTTTTACTGTTCCTCTGGTCAATTCAGTACTGTTTCCTTGGAGCTTGTGTTTAAAAGGAAATCCTAGATGTGTTCAAACATTACTGCCCACTTTCAGATGCATTGATATCTACCTAGGACTTCTCTATTAAACCCACCTGCCTGAGTACTGTGACTTGATTGGAGTTTTCTTGAAGTCACTCCTGAAGCACTGTGATGGCTTTGTCTAACATTAATAGATTTTTTAAAATGATATGTGTTGGGGAATGGCTATGAAAAAAGGGGAGAATCTGTTGCTACTGCAAACCAATTAAGGAGGCAACTTAAAAAGGAAATCTGAATTGTAACTATGTTTCTATTTCTGTAAAATACTGTCCTTACCTTGCAGTCTGTAGTTGATGTGCCCAGACACAGTAGTGGCTCTCGGGTTGCTCTTCTGCCATCTTCCTGTCTCCTTCAGTCCCTGCATGCGTATAGGAACTTCAGTGAGATAATGGGGCATTTAACACAGATTAATACTCTGTGCAATACTGTATTTAGTGTTTCTACTTTAAAGTTTCTAGGATGTTAATTTACATGCAAATAAAATACATGATAAGAGAGTTCTCTGCCTATTGTGTCTATATGACCTAAAAGTAAATGCAAAATATTTATCCCAGAGGGAAAATAAGTTAGAGCGTCTGTGTTCAAAGATTTTTGAAAGTTCTTATCTCAGGCCGAACCGTTGCTGGTGAACAGTGAAAGTCGCTCTGTCATGTCTGACTCTGCGAACGCATGGACTGTACAGTCCATGGAATTCTCCAGGCCAGAATACTAGAGTGGGTAGCCGTTTCCCTTCTCCAGGGGGTCTTTGCAACCCAGGGATCGAAACCAGGTCTCCTGCACTGCAGGTGGATTCCTCACCAGCTGAGCCACCAGGGAAGCCTGAACAGTTCTTGGCAGCTAAGGATTTAACAACTGCTAGAGTGTAAAGACAAAATAGTAATTCCGCTACATTAAAACACATTTTCTTAAGTGCAAATCTTCTCAATGCAGTTTTAGGGAAGAAGTATTTCCCCCTTATGGAAATATCAGTATGTTAATTCCTAAGAAGTCCTTTCTCGAAAAGTTGCAAAAATTCATATGATGTAGATTAAATGGTGATAAAAATTGAGTTGATCTCAGTGAGGCAGCAGTGAGTGGTGGCGTGAAGTGAGATCTAATTCGCTGCCCAGGAACTGAACCCGGGTAGCCTGAACGAAAACCAGGAATCCTAGCCACCAGACCAGCAAGGGCTAGAGGCCAGAAGCCAAGTTTCCCTGGATCTTTGACCAGTGAAAAATGCATTCATCATGGAGGCAGAATCGCTACATGCAGGTACAACGTTTATTATCAGAGACACAGCACAGCAACACGTGGGAAAGAACACGGAGGAACAGCTGGTCTAGTTACCACAGAAGCAAAGCAGAGACACACACCTGGAGAGAAAGGTTATGGGCGCCCCCTGGTGACAAGGAGCACAATAACCACGAGGTGGTGAAGTCCTTTATATAGGCCAGTTCTTCTGGGTCTTTGTCTTCCTTCCTGCCAAGTTTCTGGTTTCTTTCTTCACATCTGACCTATCCTGGGCCTCTGCCCTGGTGTGCACATACCCCTCAGCCAAGATGGATCTCCAAGTGGAGGCTTCTGGGAGAAGCAAGGCTCATCATGGTCTGGCACTTTCGCGGGACTTTTCACCCACAAGGAGCCTCTCTGCGCATGTGTAGTGTTTCCCTTCTCCCACAAGGGGGGTGGGGGGAGGGGAGATCTCTTCATCCTTGACTCAAGCAGGATTTTGTCCCTCTTTGCCCTTGTCATGGCTACTAAAGTGTTCATGAGAGACAGACACTGGTTATTTACCCTCTTTCGGTTGTTACTTCCATTTCACAGGGCAAGCAGGACACTGACTGTAAAGGCTCAACTGGAGCCCAACCATCGCTTGCCTCAGGAAATGTAAACAGGCTAGATGTAAATGCCTAACCTGGAGTCCATCTGTCTCCTCCAG